ATTCCTGCTCTCTTGCTCCAGGACATGGCTCATATATCTGTGTTCTCTTTCTCTCTTTTTATTACTTTAGGAGTTTTTTTGCTGTTATTGTTTTGGGTTTTTTTGTTTGTTTGTTTTTGGCTGTGCTGCGCGGCATGTGGGATCTTAGTTCCCCGACCAGGGATTGAACCCGTGCCCCCTAAGTGGAAGTGCGGATCCCTAACCACTGGACCTGCAGGGAATTCCCCTCTTTTTTAAATTTTAGGTTGGCGTATAACACAATTAGAAAGTGCACACATTGTGAATATACTGCTTGATGAATTTTCACAAAATGACCATATTCATCACTACCACCGTAGAAAAATAAAGCATTTCTAGTTATGCCAGCAGCGCCCTCTTCCTGTCATTACCCCTCTTCTCCCCAGGGAAGCCACTATCCTGATGTCTAACACCATGAATTAGTTTTGCATATTTAAAAACATAAAATAAATGGAATCATAGTGCCTCCTCTTTGCCTTTTTGTCCAACCTTATGTTTTTGAGATTCAGCCATATTGTTGCAGATCGTACTAATTTGTTCATCTTCTTTGCAAAAATCCCAATGAATGGCCATTCCACAATTTATCCACTCTTCTATTTATGGCCATTTGTTTTCCCTCCGAGGTTTTGGCTGTTACAAATAATGTTGTCCAATCATACATATATACAGTTGATCTTCATTATTTGTGGATTTTGTGTTTGCGAGTTTGTCTACTTACTGAAATTTATTTGTAACTCCCAAATCAGTACCTGCAGAGCTTTCCCTGTCATTCATGGACGTGCCCAGAGTGGCCAAAAATTTGAGTCACCTGATGTGCACGATCCCAGCTGAGGTCGAACAAGGCAGTGCTCTGTTTCCTCGTTACAGTTTTTATACTGTAGACAAGTGCCCTTTTTGCTGTCTAGTTAATGCCATGTTTTTCACATCTTTGTGCTTCTTTCTTGGTGATTTTGCTGTTCAAATGGCCCCCTCCCCAGTACAGTGCTGAAGTGCTGTCTGGTGTTCCTGAGGGCAGGAAGGCTGTGATGTGTCGTATGGAGAACCTATGTGTTTCGTAAGCTTTGTTCAGGCCTGAGTTAACAGTGCTCTGACCATGAGTCCAGTGTTAGTGAATCAACAATACATATTAAATAAGGTGTTTTTAAACAGGAACACACATAAAACAAGGTTATATATTGATCAGTTAATGATAATGTTGTAACCAAAGGCTCACGGGAAGCTAACCCTCCGTTTCCCCTGAGAGCAGTGGTTCAGTATCTGCTCATTCAGTGCTCATGGTGACTACAGAACATGACTACTGCGAACATTGAGAATATGTGCGTTTCATGAGTATAAACTTAGGAGTCGTGGTGCTGGGTCATGTGATCGACATATTTTCAACATTAGTACATCTGTCAAAGAGATTTCAAAGACACTGTGTTCATGCACAGTCCCATCAGCAGTATAGGAGAGGACTAATCATTCTTTACCTTCTCTGACACTTGGTATTGTCAGGCTTTTAGATTTTAGCCATCTTGATGTGCAGTACATCACACTGTAGTTTAATGTGCATTTTCCTGATGGTTGATGGCATGGTGCATCTTTTCGTAAGGTATTTATTGGCCATTTATTTTATTTTATTTTTTTTGCGGTACGCGGGCCTCTCACTGTTGTGGCCTCTCCCGTTGCAGAGCACAGGCTCCGGACGTGCAGGCTCAGTGGCCATGGCTCACGGGCCCAGCCGCTCCGCGGCATGTGGGATCTTCCCAGACTGGGGCACGAACCCGTGTGCCCTGCATCGGCAGGCGGACTCTCAACCACTGTGCCACCAGGGTAGCCCTATTGGCCGTTTAGATGCCCTCTTTTGTGAAGTGTCTGTTCAGGTCTTTGCCCTTTAAAAAATTGGGTTGTCTGTCTCTTTCTTATTGTTCTGTAGGATTCCTGTTTATGTTCCAGAAGCAGTCCTTCGCTGGTTATATGTATTACAAATAGCTTCTCCCACTTTGTGGCTTACCATTTCATTTTCTCAATGGTTTTTTTTGATGAATATAAGTTCTTCATATTAATAGTCAAATTTATCATTTGTTTTCTTTATAGTTAGTACTTTTTATATCCTGTTTGAGAGATCTTTGTTTACTATAAAGTCATAAAGATATTATCCTACACAGGCATACCTCAGAGATATTGCAGGTTTGGTTCCAGACCATGGCAATAAAGCAAATATTGCAATAGGCAAGTCACACGAATATTTTGGTTTCTCAATATTTACACTATACTGTGGTCTATTAAGTGTGCAATAGCATTATGTCTAAAAAACAGTGTATATACATACCTTCATTAAAAGATACTTTATTGCTAAAAATGCTAACCGTCATCTGAGACTTCAGTGAGTTTGCTGAAACTCTTTTTGCTGGTGGAGGGTTTGAAATATTGCGAGAATTACTAAAATGTGACACAGAGACATGGAATAAGAAAATGCTGTTAAAATAATGGTGCTGATAGACTTACTTGATGAAGGGTTGCCACAGACCTTCAAATTGCAAAGAAAAAAATTCACTATTTGTGAAGTGCAATAAAATGAAGCAAGGTATGCCTGAATTATTTTCTAGAAGTTTTATTCCTTTATTTTTCACACTTTGGTCTACAATCCACCTGAAATTGATGTTTGCATGGTATGAGCCAGTAATCATGAATTTGATTCTTTTTCCTATAGTGATATCCAGCTGATGTAGTGCATATGTTTAGAAGACTGTCCTTTCCCCACTACACTTTATCACTAATGCTTTCATGACATATTTCCATCCTTTTGTCTGCAACCTGTTTGTATCCTTATATTTATGTATGTCTCTTGTAAGCAACATGTAATTAGATTTTGGATTTTTTATTCTAGTCTAAAATCTTTGACTTTTAAATACAGTATTTATCTATTTATATTTAATGTAATTCCTAATATATTAGGGAATAAATAGTTCTATTTTGCCATTTTCCCTATCTGAACCACATTCATTCCTGTCTTCTTTATTGTTTTCACTAAACCAATACTTAAGTATTTTTTAATTTAAAAACATTTCTCCCAAGCTTGTTAGTTATACATTCTTTTAATTTTTCTGTTTTATGACTACCGTAAGCGGTTCAATATGAATCCATGACTTTTTTTTTTTTTTTGCGGTACGCGGGCCTCTCACTGTTGTGGCCTCTCCCATTGCAGAGCACAGGCTCCGGACGCGCAGGCTCAGCGGCCATGGCTCACGGGCCCAGCTGCTCTGCGGCATGTGGGATCTTCCTGGACCAGGGCACGAACCCGTATCCCCTGCATCAGCAGGCGGACTCTCAACCACTGTGCCACCAGGGAAGCCCAAATCCATGACTTTTTAAAGTTTAATACAAATGAGCACTTTACTACTTTCTGGACAACACAAGGAACTGAAACTATTTTAATTCCTTTCACTCCCTCCTTCTCTTCGTGCTGGCTATCATGTATTTTAATTCTTCATATATTTTAGATCACAAAAGAAATTATTATTACTGTTTTTTATATCAATAGCCACTTAAATTTACCCACACATTTACTCTTCCCACTGTTTTTCATTCCTTTATGCATGTCCTTGCTTCCAGCTGGGATCGTTTCCTTTATTATGGATATACTGCCAAGGAATTCTTTCAGTTTTATTTATTTGAAGATATCTTTTTACTTTTATTTTTGAAGGAAATTAAAAATAATTGTGTAATTTATAGATTGTTAGGTTTTTTCCATGATTTTTAAGATGTTGCTTTATTACCTCCTGGCATCCACCATTTCTGTCACCGATATACTTCCTTGAAGTGAATGTCTTTTTTTTTCCACTAGCTGTTTTTAAGAGTTTTGATCTGTCTTTGTTGTCCAGCAGTTTCACTAAGATGAACCTAGGTGTGTTTTTTAGTTTGATTTTTCCCTGCTTTGAGATTGTAGTGCTACCTGAATGTGTAATTTGATGTCTCTTGCCAATTATTTGAAAATTCTCAACACTAGCTCTTTTAATATTGCTTCTGTCTCATTCTTTCTTTTTTACTTCTGGATTCATCATTTATAGATACAAGCTTTAATATAATGATGATTCATATGTTGAGGAAGATAGAGGACATGATAGATAATTTCAGCAGAGAACTGAAAGATATTTAAAAAATCAAATAGAAATTATAGAACTGAAAAATAAATTAACTAAAATTTAGAACACAGAGATAAATTGAATAGCAGATTAGACCCAGTAGAAGGAAGGATTATTAAATGGAAGATAGGTGTATAGAAAATATCCAGCCTGAAGCTGAATGAATGGATGAAAAATACATACTTTCATTTAAAATTTCAGGATTTTGGCTTTCCATGAAAGTCAGAATTTTTTGTGAACATTGAGTCTACATTCCTCATAGCTTTAGTTGCCCTGAGCTGAGGAAGGGCTCTCTGTGCAGGGATATGTCCTTTTACTAGCAAGAGTTCACTTCTCTCTATTGCTTTCTGCCACTGAGGCTGAATATCAGTTGTTATGGTTTATATTACCCCTGCAGTGCTTCACTCATTTGTGTTACCTGGGTGAGTGTGGTTTAGTAAGGGAAAATGGTGGAGGAGGGACAATCTAGGCAGATGAAATAGCACATGAAAAAGTACTTACCCTGGGGGAGTTGGGCAGGTCTGGGGACTCAAATTAAGGCAGCAGGACTAGGGCACAGACATGAGTAGGGGTGTTGTATTGGGCCACTGAGTCTGGAAAAATATTTAGGATCTTGGATAGCCTTACAGACCAAGTAGCTAAGAAGAACTATACTTATTTCACGGTAAACAGACTTGGCCCCTCTGAATCTTCTGGTTGAAATAATCCATCGCTATGTAAACTTAACTTGTTAACTCTAACTTTTAGCCAGGTGGACAAGCTATTGGTTTGGTTTGATGAAACATCACTGAATTAATTTTTATGCCTTTGTTTCTTCTCCGCCTTAGCTGCAAGTGTCCACTGCTTGGAAAAGTGTGGGAAGCTGACTTGGAAGCTTGTCGGTTGCTTATCCAGAGCCTGCAGCTCAAGGAGGCCAGGGGCAGCCTGTTGGCAGAAGATGAGAGACAGATGGATGACTTAGGGGGAGGTGCTTGTACAACAGCTCTGGCCATCCCCCCGAGGCCCCACTCTGAAGATGAGAGGAAGACCCCTTTGCAAGCATTTGAAGAGTGGAAGGTGCACCTGACCCCTTCTCCTCACTGTGCTGGCAGTGAACAGAAAGAGGTCTGTCCATCCTCATAGCCTCAATAGGGGCCTTACTCTGAGGGATGATTTGGGACCACACTTCAAGTGAGAGCAGTAAATACTGGGCGGGCTTCCCACTGAACCACCCAGACTCTTTAAAGATTTAACAACTCCTGAATATGATTACAAAATGATGTAGAATTTTTGTAGAAGTTGTTTAAAATATAGGAGAATGGAAAGAATTAGTTCTATTTTTATTCTAATTTCATGGCTATAGTTAGAATATACAATCTAATATATAATTACTATATATATAGCCCACACTATATATGTCATATATAAGATACAGCTACTGTATGTACTATATATTATATATGTCATATATGATATTTAATTTTGTATTTAGAATCCATATCTTACAATATTGATTCATTAGAATCAAACAAATATATGTATATAATTCCAGTAACTGTTTTTGCCAAAGCAAGATCATAATGAATGTTAGAATTTGCTCTTTTCATTTAAAACAACCTAATACTTGGCCTGTGATATATACATTAAAAATTAAAGTGTAGATTTATTCAACATTTTACCCCAAGGCCGACCTAGATCAACAGAGAAGCGTTCCCCACCCCTCCTCTCCCTGGTTCATCTCTCCTCTCTCCCCTCCCCTCTCACACTTTCCCCTCTAACCCTAATAAGATTCTTTCAACGAAAGGGCGCCAGGAATTTTTTTTCCGGTTTTAGTGCTATGACAGGAGGCTTTGGAGTGCTTTTCTGCCCAGATTCCTGGGTGTTCTGAATATTAAAAGAAAGTAAAACCTTAGTGAAACTGGAGGAACGTGTCATTTCACGCTCACATCTCATGTTTGCCATTAGTTGTGCCCCCTCCCTGGGTCTCTGCCACGACTCACCAGGGAACGCACCCCATTTGGGTGCCTCCCCACCGTCCTGTGTGCAGGACCATGGTCTTTACAGAGCACACACTCGCTGACAATGTGTGCCTACAGTCACCGTCTTCTGGACCGCTGGGAAAATTAATACTTGATCATATATTTGAATTGAACAGCCTGATGAGAAAGCAGGCGGTTGTCACTCTCTGGAATCCTGCTGGCCTCATAAAATTAGGCTCTACACTGAGCTGTCAATGATCTCAACTCCTTTGTTAGCTGAGGCCCTGCAGGTGGAATCCTCCACAAAGCCTGGTTGCCCGAGCTCATGCTTACAGTTGTTGAAAACTTGTGGCCAGTTGCGGTTGGCCAGCTTCAAAGAATATCCTGGTGTGAGGGACACACTGCCTGAGTGAGGGGAAGGGGGCCCTGGGTGGAAGAAACTGCGGGCCCTGGGGCTGAGTCTTTGAAGGTAGGCCTGGCTATCCAAAGGGGGCTCCCGGGAGCTCAGTGCCAGGCCAGGAGCCAAGCCAGGTACATGGTGGGGTTTGCTGGGACAGTGAACACCTCTGGAGGTCATGCCTGCTTCAGCAGATCGGACCTTGTAGGCGGAGTCTCCCCCCTCCCTCCATCCCTCCATCCCTCCCTCTCTCGCTCCCTCCATCCCTCCCTCCCTCCCTCTCTCCCTCTCGCCCTCCCTCCCTCCCTCCCTCTCTCGCTCCCTCCATCCCTCCCTCCCTCTCTCCCTCTCGCCCTCCCTCCCTCCCTCCCTCTCTCGCTCCCTCCATCCCTCCCTCCCTCTCTCCCTCTCGCCCTCCCTCCCTCCCTCCCTCTCTCGCTCCCTCCATCCCTCCCTCCCTCTCTCCCTCTCGCCCTCCCTCCCTCCCTCCCTCTCTCGCTCCCTCCATCCCTCCCTCCCTCTCTCCCTCTCGCCCTCCCTCCCTCCCTCCCTCTCTCGCTCCCTCCATCCCTCCCTCCCTCTCTCCCTCTCGCCCTCCCTCCCTCCCTCCCTCTCTCGCTCCCTCCATCCCTCCCTCCCTCTCTCCCTCTCGCCCTCCCTCCCTCCCTCCCTCTCTCGCTCCCTCCATCCCTCCCTCCCTCTCTCCCTCTCGCCCTCCCTCCCTCCCTCCCTCTCTCGCTCCCTCCATCCCTCCCTCCCTCTCTCCCTCTCGCCCTCCCTCCCTCCCTCCCTCTCTCGCTCCCTCCATCCCTCCCTCCCTCTCTCCCTCTCGCCCTCCCTCCCTCCCTCCCTCTCTCGCTCCCTCCATCCCTCCCTCCCTCTCTCCCTCTCGCCCTCCCTCCCTCCCTCCCTCTCTCGCTCCCTCCATCCCTCCCTCCCTCTCTCCCTCTCGCCCTCCCTCCCTCCCTCCCTCTCTCGCTCCCTCCATCCCTCCCTCCCTCTCTCCCTCTCGCCCTCCCTCCCTCCCTCCCTCTCTCGCTCCCTCCATCCCTCCCTCCCTCTCTCCCTCTCGCCCTCCCTCCCTCCCTCCCTCTCTCGCTCCCTCCATCCCTCCCTCCCTCTCTCCCTCTCGCCCTCCCTCCCTCCCTCCCTCTCTCGCTCCCTCCATCCCTCCCTCCCTCTCTCCCTCTCGCCCTCCCTCCCTCCCTCCCTCTCTCGCTCCCTCCATCCCTCCCTCCCTCTCTCCCTCTCGCCCTCCCTCCCTCCCTCCCTCTCTCGCTCCCTCCATCCCTCCCTCCCTCTCTCCCTCTCGCCCTCCCTCCCTCCCTCCCTCTCTCGCTCCCTCCATCCCTCCCTCCCTCTCTCCCTCTCGCCCTCCCTCCCTCCCTCCCTCTCTCGCTCCCTCCATCCCTCCCTCCCTCTCTCCCTCTCGCCCTCCCTCCCTCCCTCCCTCTCTCGCTCCCTCCATCCCTCCCTCCCTCTCTCCCTCTCGCCCTCCCTCCCTCCCTCCCTCTCTCGCTCCCTCCATCCCTCCCTCCCTCTCTCCCTCTCGCCCTCCCTCCCTCCCTCCCTCTCTCGCTCCCTCCATCCCTCCCTCCCTCTCTCCCTCTCGCCCTCCCTCCCTCCCTCCCTCTCTCGCTCCCTCCATCCCTCCCTCCCTCTCTCCCTCTCGCCCTCCCTCCCTCCCTCCCTCTCTCGCTCCCTCCATCCCTCCCTCCCTCTCTCCCTCTCGCCCTCCCTCCCTCCCTCCCTCTCTCGCTCCCTCCATCCCTCCCTCCCTCTCTCCCTCTCGCCCTCCCTCCCTCCCTCCCTCTCTCGCTCCCTCCATCCCTCCCTCCCTCTCTCCCTCTCGCCCTCCCTCCCTCCCTCCCTCTCTCGCTCCCTCCATCCCTCCCTCCCTCTCTCCCTCTCGCCCTCCCTCCCTCCCTCCCTCTCTCGCTCCCTCCATCCCTCCCTCCCTCTCTCCCTCTCGCCCTCCCTCCCTCCCTCCCTCTCTCGCTCCCTCCATCCCTCCCTCCCTCTCTCCCTCTCGCCCTCCCTCCCTCCCTCCCTCTCTCGCTCCCTCCATCCCTCCCTCCCTCTCTCCCTCTCGCCCTCCCTCCCTCCCTCCCTCTCTCGCTCCCTCCATCCCTCCCTCCCTCTCTCCCTCTCGCCCTCCCTCCCTCCCTCCCTCTCTCGCTCCCTCCATCCCTCCCTCCCTCTCTCCCTCTCGCCCTCCCTCCCTCCCTCCCTCTCTCGCTCCCTCCATCCCTCCCTCCCTCTCTCCCTCTCGCCCTCCCTCCCTCCCTCCCTCTCTCGCTCCCTCCATCCCTCCCTCCCTCTCTCCCTCTCGCCCTCCCTCCCTCCCTCCCTCTCTCGCTCCCTCCATCCCTCCCTCCCTCTCTCCCTCTCGCCCTCCCTCCCTCCCTCCCTCTCTCGCTCCCTCCATCCCTCCCTCCCTCTCTCCCTCTCGCCCTCCCTCCCTCCCTCCTCCTTCCTTCCTTCCTTCTTTCTTTCCCTCCCTCCCTCCCTCTCTTCCTTCCTTCCCTCCTTCCCTCATCGCTGTGCCCATGTGTCCCTCCAGGCTCTCTGGGGGATGACTCTCCTAAGTATAGGAGTATTATTCCTCCTCTATAAGATTGTAAGCACCTGCCAATCTGGCTATAGGAAAACAGCTTGTTTGCTTAAGAGTAGGAAAATCAGAGTCAAGGATGAATGGCGCAGAGCTTTACCATAGAATGATTCTTCAAGTCTCTGTGGGAAGGAGGTGCGGGTCGTGACTGAGAAGCAGAAGAGCACAGCGGCTGCCTCTTCAAGCTCCAGGACTGAGCCCCCAGCTCCGCTCCACCAGCTGAAGCGCTGAGGGTGTTCTGTAGTTTTTCGGGGTGGGAGAGAGACGAGGTGCCTTCAAGGCTCCTGCTAGCTCAGTGCCATCTCCCATCCTGTGTCTTTCCCATCCCATGTGCTGTCCCTGCTTTGCTTTTCTGGGTTTATATTCACAGAGGGAGGCGGGCATCTTTTGAACTCGGGAGTGGCAGGAATGTTAAGATGGTAGGTATTTTCTGGGAAGGGCAAAATTGTGGAAACAGAAAACAGATCAGTTGTTGCCAGGAACTGGGACTGGGGGGAAGGGACCGATCACAAAGGGCAAGATGAAGGAACTGGGGTGGGGGGCAGTGTGTGACAGCACTATTCTGTATCTTGATTGTGGTAATGGCTGCATAACTGTGTGCGTATGTCTAAATCTATAACTTTACACCCAAAACTCTACTGCATGTAATGTTACAAAAGTGACTATAATTAAAAAAAATAACATCTCCCTATTTAAAAGTGAGGCTACAGTTGTTTGAATTGGTTGCACTTGTCTTAGGGCTATAGGAAGACGGTACAGCAGAATGAGCAGAGCTGAGGCTGCCGGGCTGTATACAAGCTGCATTCCCTTATCTGCTAAAATAAATAAGCAAAACCAAAAATGAGGATAATGAAAACTATCTCATGAGGTTGCTGTGAAGATTTAAATAAAATAGCATCTAAAGTGATAACGCATATATGTAGAATCTAGAAAAATGGTACAGATGAGCCTATTTGCAGGGCAGGAATAGAGACATCGACGTTGAGAACGGACATGTGGACACAGCGGGGAAGGGGATGGTGGGACGAATTGGGAGATTGAGATTGACATAAATACACCACCATGTGTAAAACAGATAGCTAGTGGGAACCTGCTGTATAGCTCGGGGAGCTCAGCTCGGTGCTCTGTGATGACCTAG